GTCTTTTTGAGACAGGGTCTCCCTGTAGCCCCAGCTGTCCTGGAACTCACTATGTAGACCAGGCTGGCCTGACTCACAGAGATCTGCCTGCCTCTGCCTCCCGAGTGCTGGGATTAAAGGTGTGTGCCACCATGCCCAGCTGAAAAAAGTACTTTTTAATGTTTTTGATTTCTAGTTTGGTTTTCAAGGGAGTTGCTAGGGTTTGTAGTATTGACATTAGACATTAATGTTAATTTAATTTTTAATTAATTTTAGTTAACAAGCATTAAAATATATTTATAGGATTTTTAAAATAATAAGCTAAGTCTTAAAACCCCCCTGGGATATGAACTTTCCTGTTTAAATAACTGGTCAATGCATTTGAGAAAATGATATTGATGGGCTCTTCCCGTCCTCTGCTGTGGGGGGAATGAACCTGACTTTGCATGTGCTAGATGTGCTAGGGGAATGCTTTACCACTGAACTCCACCCCAGCCCTGTACCCTAGTTTTAAAATTTCCCTCTCTTTCTTTCTTTAGATTTGCATTTCTGAACCAGGGAAGTTTACTCAAAAGGTGAAGATGTGGCTGAGTGAATACTGGAACTTAATGGAAACTGTGGCTATTGGCCTATTTTTGATTGGATTTGGTCTTCGCTGGGGTCGCCCACCTTTGTACACAGCAGGAAGACTCATTTACTGCATAGACATCATATTCTGGTTCTCTCGGCTCATGGACTTCTTTGCTGTGAATCAACATGCAGGTCCTTATGTGACCATGGTTGCAAAAATGGTGTGTCCAGTGATTTTATATGCCAATGACCTTTTCTTATTATGGTTCCACTAATTTCATGGTTCATACATAATAGTTAACACACCATCTCTCTCTCTTCTCTCTCTCTCTCTCTCTCTCTCTCTCTCTCTCTCTCTCTCTCTACCAGAGGGCAACATCAAGTATCTTTTTCTATCACTCTCCACCTTATTTTTTTGAGACAGAGTCTCTTATTAAGGTTGAAACTTGCTGCTTTATCTGGCTGGCCAGTGAGCCTCCAGGATCCACCTGTCTCTATACACTGTACCTGGCCTTTATGTGGATTCTGGGTGTCCAAACTCAGGTCCTCACGCTTGTCCAACAAGCACAATACCACTGAGCCATCTCCCTAGCCCATGAGTTTAGCTTTTGAATAGCTTCTAGAGGCAAAGAAACTTACTCTGCTAAACCACAAACTCATATATAATAGAGGTGCCTGGACAGCATATTGGGTAATTAACGTGGACACTCAGTTTAACCTTTTGTAGGGGCTGGCCATATGGGATTGAGTGCCTCAGCCTCTGAGCATAGCAGTCCCAGAGAGCTGGACTTGTGTGAGGCCACCCTGAGAATGTTTGCTTTGGAAGAGCCAATCTATTCTTCGTTACTCAGTCTTCTCTCTCACTGTGGAACCCACACTGTGTTGTGTACGTTGTCTGTATTAACCCATTAAATGCTTGTAGGAACTTCATGAAATAAATAGCATTATCTACATTTACATATAAGGAAATGGAAGTTAAGTAAATCTGTCAGGGGCCTGTGTTCTAGTCAGCTTTCTATTGCTGTGATAAAGCACAACCAAAACCAACTTGGGGAAGAAAGGGTTTGTTTGGTTTACTCATCTGGATCACAGCTCATCATTGAGAGAAGTAACCTAGGATCAGCTGCCCAGGGTTGGCGCTATCCATATTGCCCTCCAACATCACTCTACAATCAAGAAAGTGCCTGACATACATGGCTATGGGCCAGACTGATAGAGGAAATTCCACAGTTGGGGTTCCCTCTTCTCAGGTGTGTCAAGTTGACGACTGAGGCTGTCCAGCACAGCCTGTGTCGGGGAGCCAGGGTCCCACAGCCTGCCACTTGGCTCTAGGCTGTCCTCTGAGCTTGCTGAACAGTCATGTCAGCTTTTGCCATCTGGAATTTTGCACATACCTTCTAGAAGTGCATCATCAAGATTATCCTTGACTTTTCCTTTTAGACTACAAGGAAGGGGAGTTCTGGAAGGTCAGAGGTAATGCTGAAGTAAATGAAGACTGAGAAGGAAGGAGAACTGGCGGGGTTTCAAGACTGTTTTCCCTCTTTTCCCCCACCTTCTCTCTTGCCTCTTCTTCTCCCCCCACCCCACTTCTCCTTTTTTGACTGGGATTTAACCTGAGCCTTGTGCTTGAGAGAAAAGAACTCTACCACTGAGCCCTAGACTCAGCCCTCAGATTTTTTTTTTTTTGTCTTTCTTGACATTTTTCTCTTCCTCTGGTTTTGGTGACACTGACATTTCTTAGTGGGGCTATGTTGAAGTAATTGCTACATCTCAGTGATTTAGAACAAGCCCTTCTCTCCCTGAAGTCAGGTTTGATGGGTATCTAGGTACTGATTCCAGGACGCAGAGTCTCTCCAATGTGTGGCTTCTAGGGTCTCCTATGTCAGTAACAGAGAAAAGTCTAGCAGCAGCATTTAACAGCTCCAGACAGGAAGTGGCCCAAGTTACTATCATTCCTCTGGCCCACTGGCTAAACCAGATCTCGTGGCATCTGCCTAGTGGCAGAAGGATAAGAAATGTTAACAAGTGGGGTTGAGTCAGTATAGTTTAAAAACATTTTGTTTTCCTGTTTTTGAGGTAGGGTCTCCCTGTTAGCCTCCAGCTGACCTGAAACTTGCTATGTAGACCAGGCTGGCCTCCATCTCACAGAGATCTGCCTGCCTCTGCTTCCTGAGTGCAGGAATTAAAGTTGTGTGCCATGATGCCCAGCAAGCTAATGTGTTTTAATAGGTGAAAGAAAACTGGTTTGTTCAGTTCCTGAGATTAGAAAGAGCTCTGGGAGATAATTCTGGGAATAGGAAGTCGTTTGAGTAACTTGAACACATCTTATCTTTTCCTTTTCCTTTGCTTCAGTCGGTGAAAAGTTGGATGCTACGTAGCCACAAGCTCTTAACACTGATCACTGAGTTGAGAAAGAAGGGCACATCCTATATTTTAGCATATTTATGTGGCTCCATAGATACCATTGACCTGAGACATGTACTGTGCAGAGAAAAGAAGGCAATTTAGTTAGAGAAAACTCAGCTGCTTATTGGTCAAGGTGTTTAGCCACTAACTAGATGAACTATCACTTTGTGTGGTGGGTGGTGATGACTGCCAGGGCTTGATTTGTGGTAAATTCTGGTTGTGCTATGCTGTTTTGCAGGCAGCAAACATGTTCTACATTGTGATCATGATGGCCATTGTTCTGCTGAGCTTTGGTGTGGCACGCAAAGCCATTCTTTCACCGAAGGAGGCTCCGTCTTGGAGACTGGCTCGAGATATCGTGTTCGAGCCATACTGGATGATGTATGGTGAAGTGTATGCTTCTGAGATAGATGGTATGCCCTCATGCAGACACCGAACCACTGTAGATACTCAGAGTAAAAAGAAACCTAGAAAGTATTCACCTGCATCTTGAAAATGTGTTAAGTTTGCAGTATCCTGAAAAGTTAGTGGGCTTAACATTCATAGAAGACCCCAGAACAGTAATTTATCTTAGCTCTCATTCTTTTAAATGCTTTGTTTGTAGTTTGTTCAAATGAAGCATCTTGCCCTCCGGGTTCTTTTCTTACTCCATTCCTGCAAGCTGTCTACCTCTTTGTGCAGTACATCATCATGGTGAACCTGCTCATCGCTTGCTTCAAGTAGGTAACTTTCATTAAATATGATTATTTTAGCTTCAAAAAGGGAGCAGGTATGTTGACTATATTCACTTGTATGTTGAGTGTGTAATCTTTGCCTTTTGTGTGTGTTTCATTTTTCTTAACTATGGTTTTAAAGTAGGGCATGAAACTACTGGTAGGAAGGAATCAGAGGCAGGAAGCCATAAACGAATGGAAGTTATAATCAGAGTGCACGAGAGGAAGTCCAAGTTGTCGCTGGGTAGTGAGTAGGAGCTGTGCAGGCGGCTGGCAGAGCTCCATGAGGGCTGAGCTTGCTTCCTGTCTGCCTGTGTCTCACTTACTTTCTTCTCTCTCATGGTTCACGTCCCAGTCTCCCTTTCTGGCTCAGCTTTTCCATTTCACACTAAAATGACCTTGGGCCTAGACCTTCCTTTTCCTTTGTTCATAATTTTTTGTGATCTTGTTCAGTTTCCTGAATATCTGGGAAATCCTGCTTTCTGTCTCTAGTCTGGCTCTTCTTAAACCATATTCATACAGATCCAGTTGACCCTCCCAGTAGCAGAAGTGTGGTCTTTCTTCAACACAGGATGTTCAAACTCTTGAACTCCTCTCTTTCCCATCATGTACTTATCCTGTTTCTAGTCTTTCTCAAATCTGTAGGGAAGAATGTGAACATCTCGAGGCTTCCTTTTCTTAGTTGATCCAACTTAAACCTTGGCATCACTTCCCTCTCCTCTCCTCCCCTCCCCTCTCCTCCCCTCTTCTCCCCTCCATTGAGGTTTTAGACTTAGAAGTTTTTTTTTCATTTCTTTCTTTCTCTCTCTCTCAATTCTCTTCTCCCCTCCCCTCCCCTTTATTTGAGACAGGGTCTCCTTATAGCCCCAGCTGTCCTGGAACTCCATATGTAGACCATATGTAACTGACCTCAAACTTTCCTCTCTTCTCTCCTCTTTCCATCTCCTTCCTTTCCTGTTCTTCCCTTCCCCTCAATGTAGAAATGAACACTTTGGGGACAAAATAAATTGGGTGGTTCAGATATGACTACTTATCTAGGAGCCTGTTAAGACAGAGTTCTTACCATTACAGACCCCAAAATACATTGTGAAATACATGTGTGTTTCTATCTGCTGATGAACACTGAAGACACATAATTGAGGCTCACCTTGATGGCTTGCAGAATTTCAGACTAATGATCCCTGTACAGTTTTCTATTCAATGCTGTTGGGATGGAACCTAAGAATGTACATGTCCACCTGTGCTCGGGTGATGCTGATGCTGAGGGCTCAGTGATCACACTCTGAGAACCAGAGTTCTAACCCATTTATGTGTTGCTTATCTGTTTACTCTCTCACTTTTATCCTAAGCTGGCTCTTTGCAGGATAGTTACGGTTCCTTTTTATCACGGATCAAGGTTTGGTTGTTTATGCTTTTATTGGCTAAATTTGGCTGACTCAAGTTTTACTCTGCCATTTTTCTCTGAAGAAACTAGCTTTTGTCAGTCTAAACAGAATGCTAAAATGAACATTCTATGGTGCCCTCCAAGCACAGTACATTAAATATATAACTAGTTCAGGATGATACGTTGTTTTGAAGAACTGTACCACCCACTGTAATTTTCATTTGGAGTTCTAGAATGTCGGTATTTATTGTCTTGCTTTATAACTGATGTATATTTTCAGGGAAAATCCAAAGTGAACACCAATCAAGGCTACTTTCATTATAAAGTTAATGTGAATAGTTTATATTCAAGTTTCTATTAGAAGTTCTGCTAATTGGTTTATTTTAGGATAGATCCATTTTTCTCCCGGCTTCTTCATTAATGCAATTCTGTTAGAATATTTTAGTTAGGATTATTCTAGCAGTCTCACATTTGGCCTTTAAAAGATACCTTTGTAAAGTTGGTAATACAGAGGAACATTAAACTTGCTTACAGTGAAGGGTAAATTACATTTCAAAGAAGAGCAGTGAGGTGAAGGTGACCCAGCAGTGGACAGTGGAGACTGCAGGACAGAAGCTTCTGCTCCCTGCAAAAATTGTTTTTGTTTTTCTAGTACTGATTGCACTTTCTGCCCTTCTTCTCATTGTTCGGATGAGCATATTTCATAGTAAAAAGTGATTCATGTATTTTGTTTGATGGAATGTAATTGTAAATGGATAATATTTTATCATCATTCATATTACCAACTAACTAGTGGTAATGTCAGTGAACCTGTCAAGAGTTGGAAGATAAAGTCTTGTCCTTTTCGGGATCCCATATTAAAATGCCCTTCTCTTTATACAACCTACAGCAACATTTACTTAGATATGAAATCCATCTCAAATAAGCTGTGGAAATACAATCGCTATCGCTACATCATGACCTATCACCAGAAGCCCTGGCTGCCCCCACCCTTCATCCTGCTGAACCACCTGTGCCTGCTCCTCCGAGGTCTGTGCTGTCGTCGTCGAGCACTGCAGGACCAGGAAGAGGGCGACGTAGGACTAAGTAAGTTTTTCTGGTGGAGGGGAAGGAGGGAAGAGAATAAGGGCCGAGACACCGGAGCACTGAAAATTATAGCACAGGTACAGGACGGAAGGCTCTGAGACGCCACTGGCAACAGTGTCTGCTGATGCCTGGGGTCTCGGCTTTTGCCTTTGCTAAATGGTGTAAATGGTACTTTGAAGGAGAGGAGCAGAAAGGATAGAACCTTTGCTTGAGTGTGTGAAGGCTTTGGGTCATCTAGAAAACCTGAATTTTTAACCTGGGTACTCATCTGAATAGCTCCTAGAGATTAGTCACCTGACCCACACCCATTGCCTTGTTGTGTAGAAATATGATTCAGAAGATCTGGGGTCCAGGAAAACAGAGAAGCTAGGCTTCTCTAGGATTAACTAGAGATCAGGCTCTGCGGTTCTTTGACTGAGTGGGGATGTGGGTCCTTAGTCTCAAGAACTTCAACTAAAGATGCAGAGATAGGAAAATGTGGGTTCTTACTTTTTGTTTAAATCAGGATACTTAGGGCTGAAGGGCTGGCTCAGTGGTTAAGAGCACTGACTGCTCTTGCACAGGACCTGGGTTCAGTTCCCAGCACCACATGGTGGCTAACAGCTGTCCATAACACCAGTTCCAAGGAATTTGACACCCTCTTCTGACCTCTGTCAGGTGTGCGCAACACAGCACACTTACATACATGCAGGTAATACACTCATACACAAAAAATAAAAATAATAAATAAAATATTTAAAGCAGGATACTTAAAGTCTTTCCGAGTGTGACCCTGTCTATATAGGTACATAATATAGGTATATAAATCAAGTGTCTACTGATAAAAGAATTATAAAGGAGTCTATTTAAAACAATCCTTTGGCATGCACAAAATTTTACCATTTATCAAAGGCAAAGCAAATTTGCATACCAATGAAATGGATGTACTTGTTTATTTTTACACAAATAATTTAATCCTGGCTCAATATTTATATTACAAGATGTAGAGCATCTTCAGTGTTTTCAGAGTTGATGAATATTTTGATTTTACACTTATCAATGCTAAGAATCTCTTTGTATGATACTACCGATTTTAAAGTATATTTAGATCCATATCAGAAATTGTTAGAAAGTCTGTCCTAACCCCAAACCAAAATTTATTTAACAACTTCTTATGAAACTTGAGTCAGCAACTCAAACAACAGTTTTAATAATCATCCAACATGACAGGTGAAGAGAGGGCTCAGCGGTTAAGAGCACTGGCTGCTCTTGTAGAAGACCTGGGTTTTATTCCCAGGACCCACATGGTGGCTAACAACTGTCTGCAACTCCAGTTCCAGGAGAATTCGATGCTCTTTTCTGACCTCCTTGGGCATTGCACAACACAGACATACTTACATGCGGGCAATACACTTATACACATAAAATAAAAATAATAAATAAAATATTTTAAAAATCATCCAACACAATACAATTCAAAGATATACCAATCTGATATTTACATGCTGAGGAATGATGGTAGGAAAATATTAAAATCCTTTGTTTTTCTTAATTAAACCATGATGTTTCTTTAAGATCAGAAAACTCTGTACATACAGTTAAAATGCTGCAGTTCCTAACAGAAAATGGCCTCAGATCCGAGCCTCAGTGTTCCAGGTGCACATGGGCTCTGTGTGGGATGGCGTGTGCACTTAGTGTTCACAACCAAAGCTGCCATGAACTCTCAGGATACAAGCACAGGCCACTTCCAGGAACATCTCAGACCCACAAGTATGATTTTGGATTAAAATTTGGTTGTAGTATGTTCAGAAACTTTTTACTTTTGTGACTTTTTTCCCCTACTTTCGCATTCAGTTATATGATTTCATATAGGTTGTGACCCACAGTTGAGGAATCTGGGGTTTAAATCGTAAGGCTACACGTTCTGGCATTCTTTCAGTTCATCCTGACTGCCTGGTCTGGCCATGATGCTTGTCACAAGAGAACTTCTATGACTGTGTTTTTACAGATCTCTTGTAGCACCAGGTCTGTTTCTAGCTAATTCCTATATATGCAGTATATACAGGATGAGAAAACCAACTCTCCTCCTCCTCCTCCTCCTCCTCCTCCTCCTCCTCCTCCTCCACCTCCTGCACCTCTTCCTCCACCTCTTCCACCTTGTCCCCCACCTCCACCTTGTCCTCAACCTCGTCCCCCACCTCCTTCTCTTTGACCTCCTCCTCCTCCTCTTCCTCGCCCGACTCCTCCTCCTTCCCCCCCCCCTTTTCCTTCTTCTCCTTCTTCTTTTTTGAGACAGGGTCTCCCATAGCTACAGCTGGCCTGGAATGTTTCCTTTGGCCACACACATACACATACACACACACACACACACACACACACACACACACATGCATAAATGAAACAAAATAAAAATGATTCTGAAAAACAGTCCTTTCATCCTTCCCTTTGTCCTGAAGCATCCCAGAAGGGGGAAGTTGGGGTGAGGCCACTTGACCTTTTCATACAGGTAGTATGGGTGCTCTTAGATTTTCTAGGACTGACTGAGCCCCATCTAGAGATTTTCTTCATTTGTGGAATTTTTATTATATTGCTATTTGAAAATGGAAAAATTCTGAACTCTAAGATACTACTGATTCCAGAAGTTTCATAAAAGGGCCAGTGTGCTATTTATATGCTAAGGAAAGTTTAAGAGCCAGGCTAGCCTCTGTGAAATGTTGCCTGGGGTTATTTGTGGTACTCGGCCTGCGAACTATTTTCCCTCTTCCAGAGTCATTTTGAAGATTCTCCTTTGTTATTTCTTACCACATGATTTAGCCTTTAGATGGAACCTCAAATCTGGGTGCTACCAGCCTGTAATCCTAGCATTTGGGAAAGCCGAGACTGGAAGGTCTTAAGATCAAGGCCAGCTTGGACTAGATAACAAGACAGAGACTCAGAAACCAAAACAACATGCAGAGTTGCACATCTGGTCAGGCACAGAGAACATACAGCCAGGAGATGTCCAGTAATGGTGACACATCTGCAGTCGAATCTCTACAAGTAAGGCCCATGGAACATAGCAGAATAAGGGGTAGAGAGAGGGCTAATGCACCCCTCAACTCTAACCAGTGAGGCTCCTTTGTATATCCGAGTGTGATGAACACAATAAGGCCACATCTGGCCAAGTTTTGGAGAATAAGAGACTGTAGAATGTAGGATGGGACTCTTATATGGAACCTCACCCACTCATGGCTCAGGGACCATTGTGGAAGAGGAGGTGGAAAGATTTTAAGAGCCAGGACTGGTCCATGATTACAGGGAGGTGGAGGCTTCCAGGCCACTGGAGGCTTGCTCATGTGAGCCTGTGGCAGCAGTGGTGTCAAATGCAGGTCCCATGTCAGCTCAATGAAACAAACACCCGAAGGAGAGGTAAATAATAGGTGGTGGGCCAGCACTAGATTGAGAACTCTTTGAGACTGATTGCTACTGGATGAGACAGAGTATGACTTACATGCGACCACTGGATGGACGACTAGACTCCAGTGGACACATTTACACTGAAGGACATTTGGGTACAAACACCTGAATGAATAGGACTCAGCATATATGGCAGAGTGCATAGGGTTCGGTGAGGGATAGGGGGAGGCATGGATGGGAGAGGGGGTCAGGATTTGAGTGGGAAATGTATGAAATTTAAAAAGCTCAATAAGAAAACAAAAAGCCAAAACAAAACAAACCAAAACAACAGACAACAGGCAGATGGACAGACAGACAGAAAAGGCACAACTGAAGTTAGCCTGGAGGCATATTAACTGTGAATTTTAGAGTTCTAGCAGAGAGCCAGCTTTCCCTGCATTGGCCTTCCCGGCATTGGCTGGAGAACCATGGCAGCCTCATAGTGTGTGAACCAGGAAAGATCCCGAGATTTCCCAGATTTCATGTACCACATGGGTGAGCCTTTCCCGGACTCACCCTTATCTGAGCTCATATGATGATTTCACAGAACGTTCAGTTTTGTTGATTGAAGGTGAATGCACTCTGGCCTTGCTTCACCTTTTTAAGGATAGAGCCGTTTTCACACGGAGCAGCAGTGCCACCTGGTGGATAATTTGAGGAACTGCACACTGCAAGCTGTAACTGTGGCTCTTCCGTTTGCTCAGGGACCCACAGCAGGCACACATTACCTGGGGTGAAGCGGCATGCTTGTAAGACGTTAAAATTGACTGTGGGAGAGGATGGATTCTTAAAGCCGGAAAGATGCTCACACACCATGTAAATTAGAAAATATTTTGTGCTTCAGGTGTGAGCACATTTTTACAGCTAAATATTATTTCCTTTTTCACAACATTTTCAATTTAAAATGAATATTTTGTCCCACATTGTATATGAAAATAATGAACTATTGCATTCTTTATACATTTTGGAGAAATGCCATTTTATATGAAGCTGAGAATTTTCCAATTTTGTCCTTTAAGTAACAACATATCTATATTTTCCAAGTATTAGAAACACCCTTAAAAAATATATTATTCCACTAGGAAAAAAGCCAAGATATCAGATAAATGTGAATGTTAAAGTTTGATGAAGGACTACACTGGCCTTAGCATCACACGGTGATGTGTCCTTTAATGAGTTAATTACTTCAGGGACGGTGTGCAGCCTTGACTGGCTGTTGACTGGTCATGATAATGCCTCATTCTTCAACAGGGCTTAGTGCCTACATGCTCAGCCTGAGAAGGCCAAATTTCCTTAGATTCCTTGCAGTAATAGCAGATCTTGATGTTCACCTGTAGATTACTCACTGTCGTTTTAGAAGTTAAAGCATTTGGTAGGGAGAAGAAGACACACAATTAGAGTCTCTCTCCAGTTACATATAATTGTAGTGAATTTCTGTTAACATGTGAAAACATTGAAAATTATGAAAATACTGAAGAGAAAGCATCTGTTAGTCATGTTCAAAGAAGCGAGAGAGGCCCATCATGGCGTTCCTAGAAGTTTGCACGTACTGCTTCTCTGTGTGCACAGTAGGACAAGGTGGTGAC